GGGCCAGCTGTAGTGTGACATTTTTGAAGCAGTGCTCACTCACTGGCTCCCACTTTAACCCAGTAAAAGACCCGTGTGTTTCCCTGCCAGCCCTTACTATAGGTCCCAAGTTTCTCTCCATTCAACATCTTTGGTTGTTGTTGTTGTTGTGTGCCTTCCAGTCGCTTCCGACTTATATGGCGACCCTATCATGGGGTTTTCTTGGCAAGCTTTGCTGGGGGGGGGGTTGCCATTGCCATCCTCTGAGGCTGAGAGAGTGTGATTTGCCTAAGGTTACCCAGTGGGTTTCCACGGCTGAGGCGGGATTCGAACCCTGGTCTCCAGAGTCATAGTCCCACGCTCAAACCAATATCAACATCTTATCTCACCTCAAAATCCCTCCATCATCATCATCATCATCATCATCATCATCATCATCATCATCATCATCATCATCATCATCATCATCATCTTTGTGTCTCTCTGGACTATTCTCTCCCTCCGTCTAAATGCCTATAGTTACAGGAGACTCCTATGTACGCTACTCCTGAGGCAGTGTCGTCACAAATGGGATGGCGATGACGTCACAATCACAATACGGAGTGACGTCATCACCCTCTAATTGGATTTCAGCCGCCTCATGAAGGCAGTCGGTCTGAAAATGCAGAGAAAGCATTTCTGAATCTTTGGTTGCATCCACACTGCAGAAATAATCCGGTCTGACACTGCTTTAATTGCCTTGGCTCAATGGTCCTAAACACACTGCAGAAATAATCCACTTTGAGACTGCTTTAACTCCCCTGGCTCAATGCTCCAAAACACACTGCAGAAATAATCCACTTTGACACTGCTTTAATTGCCCTGGCTCAGTGCTATAGGGAATCCTGGGAATTGTAGTTTATTGTGGCACCAGAGCTCTCTGACAGATAAAGCTCAATGTCTTACAAAACTACAGAATTCCCTAGCACTGAGCCAGGGCAGTTAGAGCTGTCTCAAACTGGATTATTTCTGCAGTGTGCTTTGGATAAATGCTATGGAATTTTGGGACGTGTATTTTTTTGTGGCACCAGCATTGAGCCGTGGCAGTTAAAGTGGTGTCAGACCGGATTATTTTTGCAGTGCGGATGCAGTCCTAGCCTCCCAGAAATGTATTTGCAAAAGTTTCAGTGCTGAGAATTTTTTTGTTAGCGTTTGAATGCATTTTCGGTGTGCTCCGATGCTTAGCTTCAGTATAACCGGAGTATAAGCTTCCATCGTGGTGTTGTTGGTTAAACTGTGGACTGGGATTCGAGGAGACCTCGGTTCGAATCCTCACTCAGTCATGGAACCCACTGGGTGACCCTGGGCAAGTCACGCTCTCTCAGCCTCAGAGGATAGCAATGGCAACCCCCTTCTGAAGAAACCTTGCCAGGAAAACCCCATGATAGTTTCGCCTTAGGGTCGCCATAAATGGGAAACGACTTGAAGGCACACAGCAACAAATAACCGGAACACAGCACGTGGGGATGTGGTGACATTTTGTAAATCCCAATCTTCTTCTTCTTGTTGTTGTTGTGTGTGCCTTCAAGTCGTTTCTGACTTATGGAGACCCTAAGGGGGAGCTATCATGGGGTTTTCTTGGCAAGATTTGTCCAGAGGAGGTTTGCCAGTGCCATTCTGTGAGGCTGAGGCTGAGAGAGTGTGACTTGCCCAGGGTCATCTAGTGGGTTTCCATGGGTGAATGATGATTTGAATCCTAGCCTCCAGTCATAGTCCAATGCTCAAACCACTACACCACTCTGGCTCCTGCCCCAAAATCCATACAAATTCAATTTGAAAACCCATCTTTGTTATTTTACCTACTGTTACCTACAAACAATCCCCGAGAGAGCAATTAAATTAATTTCAATCTTATCTCCCTTTATGTGGACATATTACATTAATTTGTATCCTGCTTTTCTCCCAAAATTGGGACCCAAAGAGGCTTACAGTCTGAAAAATTACAATCAAAAACTTACAAAAGTGACAATTAAATGTTAAATAAAAATCTATGTAAATCCCATAAATCCCAGCACTGAATAATTTTTATTCCTGGTCCTAGAATTTAAAAAAATTGGCTTCTGCAGTGGATTACAGAAGAAACATAAGGAACGCTAAGACTGTGTAATACTCTAGAACAGGGGTAGGCAACCTTTCCCCTTTAAGGGCCGAGGGACTTCAGTTCCCAGAATCCCAGGAGCTATTGGCCACCATGGGACTATTGGCCAACACGGCTGAGGCTTCTGGGAGCTGAAGTCCCTCGGCCCTTAAAGGGGAAAGGTTGCCTACCCCTGCTCTAGAATGATTTTATGCAAGGCAATCTTGTAGCACCTTGGGTCCAAAACACACTGCAGAAATAATCCAGTTTGAGACCGCTTTAACTGTCCTGGCTCAGTGCTAGGGAATCCTGGGAATTGTAGTTTATTATGGCACCAAAGCTCTCTGACAGAGAAGGCCAAGTGTCTCACAAAATGACAGTTCCCAGAATTCCCTAGCATTGAGCCAAGGCAGTTAAAGCGGTCTCAAACTGGATTATTTCTGCAGTGTATTTTGGACCTATGCTAAGAGTCCCTGCCCTGGTGATTCGAGAGGTGAAACAATGGATTTACCTCTAATAAGCCACTTAAAATGGCAGGGCCTTCCTATGTGAGGAGAGCTGCTCCTGGCAGACACAGAGAGGTTTTGGTGATGGCTGTCTGTCACTCCCTCTGTTCAGGCTGTTTTATTCTTCATTTCCCCAAATATTTGCCCTTCCAGAAGCACACATATAACGTGTGTTGTGTCAATTGTTTTCTCCACAGGGCACCAAAACCCAAGCTTAGAGAGAAAAGGCGGGAAATGGAGTATCTCTAGTCAAGTACTACAAAGGGTGACTAACTGTCCTAATGGCAAAGGAGGCAAAGCACCACAAAATGGAAGATGAATATTCAAGAAAAATGTATGGAGAGAGCTCTCGCAGCACCTTTGAGACTAACTGATTGAAAGAAGTTAGCAGCATGAGCTTTCCTAGACTTAAGTCTACTTCCTC